GGAGCAGGAGGACACTGAGCAACCGTCTAGTCCTCGCTGGCAGCGCCTGGCCCAGCTCCTCTGTTTCCTTCCCAGGGAGATCCCGGCATCCATGGGATAAAAGGGGAGAAGGTGAGTGTCCATCCCTCCATCCCACCCACCTGCTTGGTGGGCAGCGCCCGTGGCCCCCCTGAGCCGTGCCCTCTCCCTGCCCTCACAGGGGGACTCCTGCCTGTCCTGTGATCCCCGCGTCCTTGCTGCGCTACTGCGGGGTCCCACCGAGGGGCTTGAGGGTGTGCTGGCGCCGGCACCGCTGCAGCCGGGGCTGCCGGTGAGTACGTGGGGCTGAGCCCTCCTCTCCCGTGCTGGAGGGGCACCCCGGCCGCCCCGGGACTGTGTGGGTGCTGGGTGTGTGACTGCACAGGGCGTTCGGCAGGGTGAAGCGGGGCTCCCCAGGCTGGCTGGCATCAAGGGCGAGAAGGTGAGTGACCCCAAGGCCCACCCCCCCCTTTCTGCACCCTCCAAGGGAGCAACAACAGCTGCATCGCCCCGCAGGGTGGGGGCAGCCTTGGCTTCCTTCGGGGCCTGACCCTGACCCTGATGTCTTGCAGGGGGATGGCGGCCAGGAGGGACCCATGGGCAGACCGGTGAGCGGGGGTGCGGGGGCTCAGGGTGGGTGCTGGGAGCCCAGGGGTGCAGAAGCCGGGCGCTGGGGGCCGTAGTCTCATCTCTGCCTTGGCTTCTCGGTGCAGGGGCTCCCGGGAGACAAAGGCAATCCAGGCGTACAGGGGCTCAAAGGAGAGAAGGTGAGCCCTGCGATGGGGATCCCCCGGGACCCCACTCCCTGCCCCATCCCTGAAACCTCCCCAGCTGAGACCCATGCAACTCATTGCATGGGACAGCCCTGAGATGGGGAGAGCAGCAGGGGCTGCGGGCACCCCCCTGCAGTGCTCCGGCCCCGAAAGCCACGCTCTGACCAGGCTGTCCCCTCCACAGGGCGAGTCGTGCGGGCAGTGCCCTCCCGCACCACAGGCCCTCGAAGGGGCAGCGACGGGGGGGGCCGGGTCCGCCGGGGGAGAGGGGCCAGGGCGGCCCCCCAGGCAGAGCGGTGAGTGCCCCGCCGTGTTTGCGTGTGCCCATTTTGGGGGATGCTCTGGCCTGACCCGTTCCTCTGTTTCCCCAGGGCAGACCTGGTGATGCTGGCCAGAAGGGACAGAAGGTGAGAGGGGCTGAGGAGGGGGCTCCGGCGGGGCTGGGGGCAGCAGAGGGGGCTGCGACTCCCCCCTCGGGCTGTGGGGCTG